TTTTTGCTTCTTCATTCAGTGTTGGAAGGTTATGTTTTTCTGGAAATTGTCCATTTCACCCAGGTTTTCAAATTTCTTGGCGTATAATTGTCCATAGTACTTTCTTATAATCCTTTGTATTTCTGTGGTATCAGTTGTAATTTCTCCTCTTCCATTTCTGATATTATTTATTTGGGCCCTCTCCCTTTTTCTCCGATGAGTCTGCTTAAAGCGTGTCTATTTTGTTTATCTTTTCAAAGAAGCAGCTCCTGGGTTCATTGATCCTTTGAATTGTTGTTTAAGTCTCTATGTCATTCAACTCTGCTCTGATCTTGATTATTTCCCTCCTTCTACTCACCCTGGGTTTGTTTGTTGTTGTTTCTGCAGTTCTTGAAGATGTAGGTTTAGTTTGTTTACTTGAAATGTTTCTACCTTTTTTAGGTAGGCCTGTATTTACATGAACTTCTCTCTCAGGACTGCCTTCGCTGTGTCCCATGGGTTTTGGACTGTTGTGTGTTTTTTTCATTTGTTTCCTGAAACTTTTTGATTTCTTCTTTGATCTCTTATTGACCCATTCATTGTTTAATAAGCATGCTATTCATCTCCATGAGTTTGAATGTTTTTGAGTTTTTTCCTTGAGGTTGGCTTCTAGTTTCAAGCCCTCGTGGTCTGAGAAAATGCTTGCTATGATTTCAGTTTTCTTGAATTTGTTGAGGCTTGTTTTGTGTCCCATCATGTGGTCTTTCTTTGAAAATGTTCCATGTGTATTTGAAAAGAATGTGTATCTTTCTTCTTTGGGATGAAAGTTTCTGTATATTATCAGTTAAGTCCATTTGATCTAATGCATCATTCAGGTCCACAATATCCCTGTTGATATTTTGTTTGGAAGATCTGTCTATTGTTGACAGCGGGGTGTTAAAATTCCCTACTATCAGTGTGTTGCTGTCTATATCTTTCTTGAAGTCCTCCAAGATTTTCCTTATGTATTTGGGTGCTCCTGTGTTGGGTGCATATGGGTATACAATGTTTGTGTCTTCTTGATGGATTCTTCCTTTGAGTATTATGGAGGGTCCTTCTGTGTCTCTTTTTATGGCCTTTGTTTTGAAATCTATTTCATCTGATATAAGTATTGCCAGCCCGGCTTTTCTTCTTGTCCATTTGCTTGGAATATTTTTTTTCCCATCCCTTTATTTTCAGTCTGTGTAGGTCCTTCATTCCGACGTGGGTCTCTTGTAGGCAGCATATGTGCAGGTCATGTTTTCTCACCCATCCAGCTACCCTATGTCTTTTGAATGGAGCAGTTAATCTACTTACATTTAAAGTTATTATTGACAGGCAGTTATTCATTTTTTCCCCCCTGTGTATCTGATTTGCATTTGTATCCTCTCTTTCTCACTCTTTTTCTTCATCTTCTTTAAGCAGTCCCTTTAGCATATCTCGCAGTGCTGGTTTAGTGGAGGTGTATTCTTTTAGCCTTCTTTTGTCTGGGATACTCCTTATTTTGCCTTCCATTTTAATTGAGAGCCTTGCTGGGTAGAGCAGTCTTGTCTGCAAGCCTTTGCTTATCATTACTTGGAATATTTCTTGCCATTCCCTTCTGGGTTGTAGTGTTTCTGTTGAGAAGTCAGCTGCTACGCATTCGGGGCTCCCTTGTATGTTCCTATCTGTTTCTCCCTTGCTGCCTTTAAGATTCTCTGTCTTTGATATTTGCCATTTTAATTATGATGTGTCTTAGAGTGGGCCTCATTGGCTTCCTCTTGAATGGGACGCTCTGTGCTTGTGTGACTTTTTCTCTCCTCAAATTAGGGAAGTTTTCCATCATCGCTTTTTCAAACAGGTTCTCTCTATCCCTTGCTCCTCTTGTTCTCCTTCTGGTATGCCTATTATATGGATATTATTATGTTTCAGGTTTTCCTGCATTTCCCTAAATGCCCCTTCATTCTTTATGAGTCTTTTGTCATTTTCTTGCTCTTTCTGGGAGCTTTTTTCTACCTTGTCCTCCGGCTTGCTGATTTGATCCTCTGCGTCATCTAGCCTGCTTTTGATTCCTTCTGCTGCGTCCTCCAATTCAGAAATTGTGTTCTTCATTGCCTCTTGCCTCTTGTTGATAGTTTCTATGTCTTTTTTTCATGCTGATAAAGTTTGCAGTAAGTTCCTCATAGTTCGTTTCCCGGTAGATTTTTGTAATTCTCTCTGAGCTCACTGAGCTCGTTGAGCTTCCTTAGAACCGTTGTTTTGAACTCAATACCTGATAGCTTACTTGCCTCTCTTTCATTTAGTTCTGTTTCTGGGGCTTCCTCCTTTCCCTTCAATTAGGGGCTGTTTCTTTGTCTTCCCATTATTTGTGAGACTCTTCTTTTTTGCTGCTGCTTCTTAAATTGATCTATGTTTACTTCCTGACTTTGTGGTGTGTACTTCTATGATCAGAGACCTGTGAGATCAGTGGTGTGGTCTCCTTCACCTCCTGAACTTGCTGCTCTTTGGATGCCTTTTATACCTTTTATGTTGGCTCTCTGGAAGAAATTGGGTTTTGCTTGTTGTTTGGTTATTCTTTGGTGGGTCCTTACCTCCAGCTGGTTGACTGAGCGTCATGGTGCCCACCATGTCTTGTGCATTTTTGTGCAGGTGCTCCAGGAGAAACCAGAAAGCCCAGGAAACAAACCCACATCCTCAAAAATAACTCTCCCCTGCAATCCCACTATCAACAGCAAATGACCCAGTAGTAATATGGCAGTCAATTTGTGCTAAAGCTGATTTTTCTGTGTGTCCAAGGTATAAGGCTTCTCTCTTGCTATTGTTCAGTTGTTTGTGCTGGGTGATTTCTCCACAATTTAATTGTAATTCCATATTGGCCTGGGAGGAGGTTAGTATGATTTCTATTTACTCCTCTGGCATCTTGAATTACTCTGCAAAAACTATTCATATCCCCTCTGAGATACCACCTTTATAATAAATTTAATTTTCATATGAACTTATTTCTACCTCTAGCCTTTCTGTTTGTGTTCCATTGGTCTATCTAGAAACCAACATTTATTCATTGACAATTCATTATTAAAAGCCAATTATTGCTAAATTTCAATGACAATGACTAATGAAGAAGGCATTTTTCTCTCTTTCAGGAGACTTAGTAACAAGAAAGCAAACAGGTCAACAGATAATAAGTAAATGAAAGCGTAATTACAACTGATATATTACAAGATGTGGGAGAGAGAATCAAGGTGTATGCCTAGGGTTATCAGGTTGAGAGTTATTTTGAAAGTGCATGTTTTAATATGAGGCCAGAAGGATGAGAACAGCAGCCATACAAAAGAGTCCAGGACTGAATTCCAGAAAAATGGAAGAACCTGATAGAAAGAACCTGAGATCTAAGGTTGAAAAGACTTGAAAAGACCTAGATTTAGCCTAGATGCTTGAAGGAAGCCTGTGCTTTGGGTACATGGAAGGGGTGAGAGGAGTGCTCAATATGAAGATGCACTGTCCTCAGTTGAGACAGAGTGACAGCAATGAAAATCAGTGACCTGCTTTGCCAAGAGCCAATGAACATGTGTTTAGAATTGTTCTTAGTGCAGTGGGAAGGCTGTAAAAAAGTTTAAGCAGAAATTTTTAATTTGAGTGGCATCAGCATTGTGTTAGAAAGTGTTAAAAATATAGATGCCTTATTTATATGAAATTCCCAGAATAGGCAAATCCATAGAATTAGTGGTTCCTTACCATTAGTGATTTCCTGGGGCCAGAGGAATGGGGACTGACGGCTCAATGTGCACAGCATTTCTATTAGGGGTGATGAGAATTTTCTACTACTAGAGAGTGGAGATGGTTGCATGACATTAGAAATGTATTGCAAACCACTGAATTGTTTTAAGTGGTTAAGTGGAGAATTTTTATGTTATATGAATCTTATATATAGCTTTTAAAATACAGAGAGACAGGCATGTTTGTATACACGGGCACATGCACACACATGCATTAGCCTTATTCCTGGAGATTTTGAGTCAGTCTGGGGTGGTTCTTGGACATTTTTATTGTTAAGAGACTTCCAGGATAATCCTGATTACTATCAAAATTGAGCACCCCTGGCTTAATAGGTTTTCATGCCCTTCTGGCACCATATAAGGTCTCATAGTTGTGTTCTCCTTTGTTTTTTAGAATTTAGAAACTGCTCAGTAATAGCTGAGACTTACATTGTCACCAGACCAGTTCCATGCCAGGGGCTGGTAAGGTTTGGGACCTCCAGGCTCTTGACTCATGCAGGAAAGAATTCAAGAACAAATACAAATCAGAGTGAGTGAGAGCAAAAGCAGATTTTATTCAGGTACAGACAAATAAGATTCCTGGAGACAGGATCAGGTTTGAGCCTCCCGTTACTTCCCTAGTTGCAAGTCTCACAGGGCATTGCTGTGAAAAAAGTGGAAGGATGAATGCAAGTGGACATAGGTGAACTCCCAAGTGAGTTGCATTCTGGGTCGTCAGTTCTTGGGATTTTGTATGTTTCCAAGGGTAGGTTGTTTGTGAACTTTGTGTCACCAAATTCCGACTCCATGCACCAAATTCTGACTCCATCTTCTGGTTTGGAGAGACCTTGTCCCTAATGTGGTTCTTCTGGAAGGGTCATAGCATTTGTCCCCTTAGCACCCCCTTCTACTTGTCATGTCATTTTTCATTATGGGTCTTTCTGTGGTCAGTTTTTCCTTCATCTTGGTTTTAGCCAGTTTTTGTTGTTGACTTCTGTAACTACCACAGCAGGAGTTGCCTGCCATAAACTATTTCCCTTTGATCACGCATGGAGCGTGGGGCTCTGGTGAGAGGACCTAGCTCTATGGGCCTGTGATGTCCATTCCTACTTCCTCATCCCGCATAGGGAGTTTTCCCTAACTGCTCTCTATCCTGTCTCAGTATAAGCTATTCACCTTTTATAGTTACTATTTTTATTTTTTTTCTCTCTAGTCCACTGTAGAATTATTTTTTTATTTCTCTTAGAAGAGGAGAACAGCTTGTGTTTATTTTTTTTTTTAATTTTTCAGGCTTGGAGTCCAGGTGTGAGAAATTTCCACAAAAAGATATTTTTGAAGTAAAGACATTCAATTGGGAGCTAATGGAAAGCCTAAAATGCTGTGGTTTTGAGGACTCTAGTTTTAAAGAAGACTGGGAATACAAACGCCAACTTGAAAGACAACAAGTAAACAAAGAATGTTATCTCAAGCAAGTGAGAATCACATATGAAAATATACCCACATTTGAGCATCATACATCCCTCACTCTACATCAGAGCAATGAGATTGGCAAGAAGTTAATTGAATGTAAAGAATGTGGGAAAGTATTTAGCCGTGGCTCACACCTTATTCAACATCAGAAAACTCATACCGGTGAAAAACCCTTTGAATGTAAGGAATGTGGGAAGGCCTTTAGTCGAGCCTCACACCTTATTCAACATCAGAGAATTCATACAGGTGAGAAACCTTATGACTGCAAGGAATGTGGGAAGGCCTTTGGTCGTACTTCAGAACTTACTCTCCATCAGAGACTTCATACTGGTGTCAAACCCTATGAATGTAAACAATGTGGAAAGACCTTTAGACAGCATTCACAACTCATTCTGCATCAAAGAACTCATACAGGTGAGAAACCTTATGTATGTAAAGATTGTGGGAAGGCTTTTATTCGTGGCTCACAACTTACTGTTCATCGGAGAATTCACACAGGTGCTAGACCCTATCAGTGTAAAGAATGTGGAAAGGCCTTTAGACAACATTCACAACTTACTGTGCATCAGAGAATTCATACTGGTGAGAAACCCTATGAGTGTAAAGAATGTGGAAAGGGTTTTATTCATAGCTCAGAAGTTACTCGACATCAAAGAATTCATTCTGGGGAGAAACCTTATGAATGTAAAGAATGTGGAAAGGCTTTTAGACAGCATGCACAGCTTACTCGACATCAGAGAGTTCATACAGGTGACAGACCCTATGAATGTAAGGACTGTGGGAAGGCCTTTAGTCGTAGTTCATACCTTATTCAACATCAAAGAATTCATACAGGTGACAAACCCTATGAATGTAAGGAATGTGGGAAAGCCTTTATTCGTGTTTCACAACTCACTCATCATCAGCGAATTCATACTTGTGAGAAACCATATAAATGTAGGGAATGTGGAATGGCCTTTATTCGTAGTTCACAACTTACTGAACATCAGAGAATTCACCCTGGTATCAAACCTTATGAATGTAGAGAATGTGGGCAGGCCTTTATTCTTGGTGCACAGCTCATTGAACACTACAGAATCCATACTGGTTAGAAAGCCTTGAATATTAGGGATATAGGAAAACCCTTATATGAATTTTATACCTGACTTTATATTAGATAATGCCTAATGCAGTATAAAATCAGAAAACCTTCATTTGTCATTTCCATTGTGGAACATCAGACTACTCATACCAGAAGAAAATTTAATAAATGTGGGAATACTTTTTGCCTCACACTCACTGTTTACTATGTATCAGAGAACTTATGGTAAAAAATATATATATATATTAATATGAATGTAAAAAGTCTTCTGTTACCACTCAGAATGTATTAAACTTCTGAGAATTCCTAATAGAAAATGACTCTATTAAAGTATTTTGTGAATGTGCCTTTTGCCGTGGCATATACCTTACTTAACATTATCTCATATCTACCAGTTACTGACTGTATACCATTGGGCCAAATAATGCTGTTTCTCTGTTCCTCGGTTTACTTATTTTTAAGCAGTGATAATTATACCTACTTAATAGAGTTTTTATGAGGACTGTCAGGTACTTTATATAAAGCCTTTGCTGAATAAGTATTATTCAAATTAATTATTAATCATTAATCATTAATAAATAGTATTACCATTAAGGAGGGCCTTGTGAATGTGTCAAATATCAAAAGGCCCTTATAACCACTTGTTATGATAATTCATTATGAAAAACAGTAGTAAAATATAGTTATCATGACAAGTATTTCATTCAAAAGGTTAGAAATTCAGATTAGTCCTGGGTACCTATACTATCTGTTTACAAGAGCCAAGTCAATAAAGCATTGTCTCCCCTGTCTTTTACCTGAAAAAAATATATATATCAGAAGATTAGAAGTCAACAGAAAAGTAGCCAAAAGAAATCTGCCATTTATAAAGCCAGGTATACCTTGACTTCAAGAAAAATGAAAACTAAAATTACAAACTAGAAATAAATGACAATGAATTCTACATATCAAAACCAGCTCATTGTAGCCAAAGCTGTACTCCTGTCAGAAGCCAAGGATGGAAGATAGGGGTTTTGTTCTCTAATGTTGATCATCAACACCCTAGTCATTGCAAGTCACGTACCAGGCACATTGAATGAATGGTCAACTCTGAAAATTAGGAAAAAATTTACTGCCTAAAACCCAAGTCAACAGAAAGAATGAGTACTGAAAATAAAAGAAAAAAATAGGAAAGTAGAAAACAGTAGACTTAACCTGGAGGTTGTTTATTTAATAAGATATATAAGATGATTGACAAGTCTGATCTGGAAACAACACATTTACAATTATGAATGAGGAAGGGGCAGATTCTTTTAAAGTAGTTTCTAAGCATGACTTAATCTAAGGTATTTGAAATCTAGAGAGAATGGATTTTTACAAAAATATCAAAATTGGTTCAAGAAGATGTAGAATACCTGAATAAAATCAGTGATTGTAAAAGGACATAAAAGGTCATCAAAGTTTCTGCCCCTTCTGAGAAAGTAGTTTCACCTACAGAAATAAGGGATTATTTGCCAGTTCATTTTCAAGGCTAAATAAAATTAGGATTAGAAAAAAAAAAAAAGACAAGGATATCTCCCAAAAAACAAATTATATATGGTTACCGTTTGTAAAGATTAATATAAGTAAAATTTCTTCTAATTTAATCCAATCTATTTAAAGGAAAAAGCTAATTTAAAATGGAATGTCTAGGATTTCACCTCTTCTGAAATAATTATGTCTTTAGAATTTTGGTATTGTAACTGCAGGTGATGACAATGATGCGGAGAAGAACCTTGATCCAGCCCCAATGACATTTGGATCAGGGCTTGTGAATCTGAGAAATTTTAAGAAGTAGATCCCCTCAGCCCTTGAGGTAGCCAGGCAGTGTCTGGGGCAGAGGGGCCTCTTGCACCCCAAATAACATCCATCTCAGAAATCCTGAGTGCTCCGTAAAAGTACCTGCATGTGCCACTGCCTACAAAGGATTAGAAAGTAGTATTCTGTATGTCATTTTTCTTTTACTGGTGTAATGATTAGGATGTACAGTTGGAGGTGCTCAAAGCTTTGACATTAAAAAGTGTCTCTTTGAATAGTTAATATACATACACAAGGTAAAATGTTTAAAGTTGTACAATTTGGTATACAGACAAGTCCACACTATCTGTGCCCCCTTTTCACCCCATTAACTACTATTTAGCAATAACCGGTATTAAGATCTTGTATATACCTCCTCACTTTTATATTTGCATAAGGTTATACATAACATACCATTTAAAAATTTACACAAATTGTAGCTAATCTCTATACACTGCTACTTTTACTTATCCATACACCATGAAGATTGGACCATATCAACATATACATAACTGCCTTACTTTTAACAGCTGCATGGTATTTCATCACGTTTGTGTTTTATTATTTTAAACCTTATTTCATTTTTATGACTTTTGCTCTTTTAACCAATACTATAATAAATGTCCTTGCACATAAATCTTTAGAAGTAGAAGTGCTAGATCAAAATGTGTATACTTTTTTAACTTTACTGTGAAAATGTGAACATATATAAAAGTATGCAGAATATTGTAAGGTACCCCGGTGCCCCCATCACCAGCTTCGGTAATTATCAACTCATGGCCAGTCTTTTTTAAAAAAAATTATTTGTTTTTAGAGAGAAGGGAAGGGAAGGAGAAAGAAGGGGAGAGAAACATTGATTATTTGCCTCTCACACACCCCTAACTGGGGACAGAACCCACAATCTAGGCCTGTGCCCTGACCAGGAATTGAACAGGCAACCTTTCAGTTTATGAGACAACACCCAACCCAGTGAGCCACACCAGTCAAGGCATAGCCAGTCTTGTTTTATCTGTAATCTCACTCTCCCGACCTCCGTGTTACAATATTTTTGAAGTAAATCCCAGGTATATTATTCACCCATAAATGTCTCCGCATGCATCTCTAAATACTATATCACAACTTTGGAAAAGATTTTCAGTCCTTAAAAAATTTGACAATACTGTCTTAGTGCCACTACATATCTGATAGTGTTTCCTAATTATTTTATAAATGTCAATTTAAAAAACCAAATAATGTCCACAAATTGCAGTTGATTGTCATGTCCTTTAAGTCTCAGTCTAGCGTCCTCCCTTATCTTTCTTTTCTTGCAATGTATTTTTTGAAGAAACAAAGATGTTTGCTTTGTAGAATTTCCAGAGCCTGGTTTTCGTTGGCTGCATCCTTGTGGTGTAGTTTAACTTGGTCCTCTATCCTTGATATTTCCTGTTAATTGGTAGTTGGTAGCTAGAAACTTAATGATATTGAGGTTACATTTTTTTGTTAAGACTACTTATAGGTGATTAATATTAAGAGGCACAATATTTAGGTGTCTTTTTATGATTTAGCAGCCACTGATATTCAATTGATAAATCCATTCACTAGGGATTGCAAAATGATATCCTATTATTTATTTTTTTCCTTTGTTAGCCAGAATATTTTTATGAAGAAAAATCCCTTCAAACTACCATTTGGTTACCCATGTTACAGTAAGGAAAGGCAAGATAAATGTTTCTTTCTTACTCTATATTGATTTTCAAAATAATGTGTTGGTTCCCTAGTATTTTACCATGGTAACCAGTAAATTGGGAGGAAGGGGATGAAGTATATTTAATATGTTTAAATTCATTTAACCTAATTGATAATTTGTGTCATTCTATGTGTGGTGTGTGGATGCCTCTTTCATTTGGCTCCTGTATCCTTTTGAGATGACCACAGTATTTAAAGTTATTACTACTACTACTAGTACTACTACTACTACTACTATTGATTTTAGAAAGAGAAAAACATCAATTTATTGTTCCACTTACTTATGCATTATTTGGTATGCATTATTCTCATATGTGTCCCTACCAGAGATCAAACCTGCAACCTTGGCATATCAGGACGATGCTCTAAACAGCTAAGTTACCTGGCAGGGCTAAAGAGTAGTCTTTAATTGCTTGCTGTCTGTCACAATAAGATGTGCAAGGCTCATCTTGTTCATTTCCTGCCTTTCACCTTGAAGTAGCCATTTCCCAGGAGTTCTCTTTCTTTTTGATATTTTGTACTTTCCCAAATGGTATTTAGAAACCACAATGGGTTGCTAGGAGTGCAATCTCACTCTCCTAGTTGGACATTTTTAGAAATATATACATTTTAAGCTATTTTATATTCATTGCTCAAGTGCCTTCAGGAAGATTATGCATGTACCTGTGGTTAAAAGATCCCAAAGCACCACATTTTTCTAACCCTGGAGAGAACATTGATTTTGAACATACACCATTTGGTAAATGAAAATGGATGTCATTTTTGTTTTCATTTGCATTCCTTTGATTGTGATTAATGTAGATATGACCATTTGTTTACCCATTTATTGACCAATGGTATTGCATTTAGCATATGCCTAAAATAGGTACTCAATAAATATTTTTCAATTGAATAAATTGTATGTCCATAGCCTTATTCATTTACTATTGGGGTAGTCATATTTTTCTTACTAAAATAACTATTTTTGAGAGGAATAAATTTGTATAAAGTTCATAGTACAATGCCTGAAACTTACTAGTTCCCTGCCTTGTTCATTGCATACATTGTCATTTATAGCTCTTTTTTTTTTTTTTCTGCTTTAAGAGATAAAGAAATTGAGAGGCAAAGAGATTAAGTAGCTTGTCCAAAACTTCTTAAGTGGAAGATCCTGATTTCAAGGACAAGGGCAGTAGTGGGTAGTGTCATGTATACAGCTTTCAGAATGTGTGACTGTGAAAAGGAAAAAAAATCAGTTTATAAAGAGAAAAGTGGAGTCATTTTATAGTCCTAACACAGAAAGTGGCAACAATATGAAAGAACTTAAGAATCTTTTTTAAATATATTTTTGGTTTTTTTATGAAAAGTAAAAATGTTCAAATAAAAGAATACAGAAAACATAGAAAAAAATTTAAAGAAACATTTTTTGTACCTTCACTCAACCACAAATGATCAACCAAGTGTGATCATTTTTTCACATGTCTTTCTAGCTTCTTAGGTTTTAAAAATTTATACGTTATTATGGAAAACTTCAAACATACACAAAAGTAGGAAGTATAATACAGTAAACCCTCATATTCTCATCACCATTCTATAAAAACCATCAATCCACGGCCAGCCTTGTTTTGTCTATACCATACCCACTTCTTCCACTGGATTCT